TATTATACCACTGTGCTATATCCCAGCCCCTTTTATTTTTCAGTTTGAGACAGTATCTTGCTATATTGCCCAGACAGACCTCAAATTCACAATTTTCATGCCTCTTCCTACCAAGTAGCTGGGATGACAAAAATGTGCCATTGTGACTGACCACCTAACAATGTATCTTGGAGATCTTACAGTGTTGGTACTGAAAGAATATCTTCATTCTTTTATATATCTGGATAGTATTTCATTGCATAGACATCAAATTATTTGACATTCCCCTGATAATGCCCATCCAAAATGTTTCCAATCTTTTTGCACATATGAATAATGCTGCAATGTATGATATGATTTCATTTGTTGCTTAGGGAACTACCTTAGACCATTTTGGTCATTACTCCTTCTGGTAGTTAAATTCCTGATGTTAAATAATTTTGCAAAATATTATGATTTTGGTGCTATCTTCTCAGCTTTTTTTTTTTTAATTTAGAAAAATTTTAGCTAAGAGGAAAATTGAAATAATATTTTGATTTCTTGGAAAGTGATATTTTGTTTATTTTGTTTCATCTGGATTTCTCTTTTTTGTAACAAATTTTGTTTCCCAGGGGTTGGTGCTATCTACATCCGCCGCCGGCCCCGAGTGCGTGTGGAGGCCCTGCAGAGTGGAGGGGGGCAGGAGCGGGGTATGCGGTCTGGGACAGTGCCTACACCCTTGGTGGTGGGGCTGGGGGCTGCGTGTGAGGTGGCACAGCAAGAGATGGAGGTATGAGAAGAGCAGTTTCCTCCCACAACTTCTTTTCCTGTCTTGGGTCTCATATTTAGTGGTGTCTTGGCATAGCTAAGTTAGATTGCTGCTAGAAGAGGAGGTTTTTTTCAATAAGCTCCTGCTGTTCCCCTAGACCGAAGGAAGTATTAGGGGCTCAAAACCCATGTCCTGGGAGAACTTATGAACTCACTTGTTTTAGTTTTGTTGGAACCGTATGTGGTGTTACTGAGCACTTTTGCACATTAGGTGGTGTTCTCAGGGCTGGAGATAAAAGTGGTCTCCAGCAGTAACATAGGATGGTAGAGGAGAAGGGTTTCTTTGAGTATGTGTTTTTGAACTGTTTGGTGATCATGTTGCTTAATCCTTCCCTACATTCGCCTTAGTATGACCACAAACGAATCTCAAAATTAGCAGAGCGACTGATAGAGAAAATAACAAAGAGCCTTCCAGATGTGGTGATGAATGGGGACCCCGAACACCACTATCCTGGTATGGACATAATTTTTTTTTATTTTTTTCTTATTTTTGGTTGTTGGGGCGGGGGTTGTGGCTCAGCAGTAGAGCGCTCGCCTAGCATGTGCAAGGCCCTGGGTTTGATTCTCAGCACCTCATAAAAATAAGTAAACAAAATAAAGGTATTGTCCAACTACAACTAAAAAACTAATATTAAAATATATATATATATATATATATTTTTTTTTTTTGGTTGTAGATAGACATGATACTTTTATTTTATTTATTTATTT